GACCTGGAAAACGGATTAAGTGTTTGCAGGATTTAATTCGTTTCAGGTCCCATATAATATTCTTAATCTGTCATAAAGTATTTCGGGATATTCATAGAAATGTTCCCGTCATATTTCATCTAATATAATAAAGTTATTGATTTCTACATCAGACTCTCTAATTCATATGGAATTTAAGAAGTAGAATTAAGTTTAATGTTAATTAAAATTTTAAAAACTGAATCCATATGTGGAAGAAATCTGGTGGTTCATTGTGGCGTGGTTGCATTTTCGGAAGAGAAAATTTATTTCGATGTTATACAGTTTATCCCATGTTCCGTTAACCATGAGTGATGCGTTCCCATTAACCTTCAGAGACTTTCCTCCATCATTCTCATCTTTAGTAATAATACGTTATGACATGAAGACGTATGAGGGTGGCTGGAAAGTTCTGAGCCTAACTGTGATGGACTGCGATGATGGAGTTGTCTGCTAATTATTTTTCAACATAATCCACTCCGAGGTCCACAACGATGCTGGGGTTCCTGGATCTGCTAGTGCAGAAGGCAACCTCCCGGTGTATAATGTCCCCCAGAGAAATTACGTCATCATCATTTGCCCAATTCTTGCTGGACAGTTCCTTCTTTTAATTTGAGAAGTGAGAAACCTGACGATGCCAGATCTGGTGAATACAGAGGGTGTTCATCTGCTCCCCCCTTTGAGTGAGTGAGTGAGTGAGTGAGCTAGTTTAACGCCGCTTTTCAGGATCCCAGTTATATCACGGCGTGTCAGCTTAAAGTGGGAGGATAGGCAGAAGTGATGCAGGTCTCAGACGTTTACGCCTTCGGTGAAACCCACGAACACGGGTATAGGCTGACAAACCTAGAAACATAATCAGGGCGAACCGGGATTCGAACCCACAATCATAGGTTTCTGGCTTGCCCAAGGGACGCAACTCTGCACAGCGAATCACGGCGCCTTAGACGACTGGGCCACCCGTGCCCCCCATCATTCGTAGTTGGACCCACAGCGTTTCAGCCACTCCTGGTATGTTAACTAAAACACAACCAATGCCCTACGAAAGAGTATCATTTGATGTGAATGTTATACCAGGAACCACAGACAGTACAAAACATAAATCTGCGTCCTGTGCATGCGTTCCTTGAAAAATGGGAATGTTTAGTTGTGCGTTAAGTAAAGTGAACGTACAGTGGAACCCTGCTTATCCAGACACCACATATCCGGAAACCTCACCTATCGGACGATAGCTTCGTGAAACGAAATCATTTATCCGGAAATCTGTGAATTTCAATTTCCAACAGTGCAAAATATGCAACATTGTGTCCACTTGTCCGACAGCGACCCGCATCCACCATAAAAAGTGCTCGTCGTATATCTGGGCTAATGTTTGTGACAAATATATTGTATATTGTATTCAATATTGATCGCACCAAATCCAACCACGAACAGGCCCCGTGAAGATCCGGGATAGAATAGGCCTTCAGCAACCCATGCTTGTCGTGAAGATCCGGGATAGAATAGGTCTTCAGCAACCCATGCATGTCGTGAAAGGCGACTTACGGGATCGGGTGGTGGGGCTCGCTGACTTGGTTGACGTATGTCATCGATCCCAATTGCGTGGATTGATGTTCATGATGTCAATCACTGAATTGTCTGGTCCAGACTTAGACCACAGTCATATAGCTGGAATATTGCTGAGTGCAAACAAACAAGCAACCAACCACGAACATACTACTACTGACCCCTTGAAACGAACGGAAGTTGACAGAGAACGGACACATATATCATAATTGCCATATTTTTACTCGTTAATAGTCAATGTACATTGTTTTGTCCTCGATCATTATATTTTACTCCCCAGTCTTGTGAAACATGTTCTGGACTGTGTATTTTAGGTAGAAACACGTCTCCCGGGCGTGACACATCCCGCAAGGTCCGCAGATTTAGCTCTTGTCGTGAGTAGAGTTGATGTCATGAAAGGCGTCACCCGTTGTCAGAAGCTCCGTCAGCACAAGTTGGATGTACGCAATAATGAAGCTGCAAGTGACTGGGATAGTTATGGTCGGTTCATTACATAGGGGGAGGGGGGAGGGGGCAATGTTTTATAACATGTCGGAGAGTGGCGCAATCGTATGAGCGTCAATGGACAGAAACAACAACAGACTTCAATGGCAGAGCAGTGACGCAATTAGATCATAACATGACGAAAGAACTTGTTTTCGTTTTCATTTGTTTCCACTATGTCCTTTCAAGGTCACGTATACAAATGATACAAGAGTGTCAGAATTGTTTTAAACAATGTGTATGTCGTCAACAGCTACCCAACAAACGTTTCTGGCAGCCTTGATATTCAAATATTGTCTGCACAATTAAGTACTGAGGAAACTTTAACACTAAATTCTAATGATTTGAACAAAACATGATATCATCATAAGGAGAAACAGGTCAGTTCAAGTTCTGCTGCCTCATACTTGCAGTTTCAGAGAAGCAGTTGACAGAGACAAATATGCATTGTCAGACAATTTAAGGCCATAGTTAAAACAAAGGTAAAAAGATTAAATATCACAAAAAGTTGAACATATGTGTTGAATTCCACTACTAACTGCACAAAAAGCTAGGTAATTGCCACGAAAAACTTAAATCAGATTCGAACCTCAGGTGTCATCGTAGTAGGAACAACATGTGAAGTTTAAGCTTTCTGGAAAATGAGATGATGATTGCAGAATTTAGGAGCATGGTCCAAGGGCAAATATAGGTCAAATATTAATATTATCTGCTGATCCCCATTTCCTACAACACATGAAATAATTTGATCTAAATGTGAACAAAATTCGCTGGGAAATGTCCATGAATGGGTGGGTGCTTTGATATATACTGAACAACAAAAGTTCGTGTGACATTGAATAAGATTTAATGCAAAGTTATGTTTTTTACCAAATCTTAAACAATTTCGGTTTGCAGCAATCCTGTAAGTGTTCAAATGGTTTAATTTGCCATACTGACTTCAGAAAATGCTTGATTTCATAAAAAAAACACATGAACATGCCAATGTCAATTTACAAATCAATAGCGTCTGTGTCCACCTCTGGTTGCGATGCAAGCAACACATCTCCGTCTCATGGAATGGACTAGGCGTCGCACAAAGTTCTGTGGGATATCTGACCATGTCTGCTGGAGCATGTTTCGAAGTTCCTGGAGTGTCTGTAGAATACGTGGTTGACGTCGAAGGCGCCGATCCATCTCATCCCACATGTGCTCGATTGGTGAGAGATCAGGGGAGCGAGCCGGCCAGGGCATGACATTCACGTTGTTTTGTTGAAGAGAATCCTGAACAAGTCGAGCAATATGTTTCATGTTTTTATGTTGAAAGGTAATGCCTGGGCCATGGCGACGCAAAAACGGTAGAACAACAGGGCTGATGATCTCTATCAAACGGGTCCTCTGTCTTGCTGTAATCCCACCCCATACCATAACGCTGCCGCCCCCGAACCGATCTTCTTCCATGACACAATGATTGACGTAACGTTCACCTCCACGTCGGTATACTCGAACCCGTCCATCGCTGTGGCTGAGGTGAAAACGAGAATCGTCAGTGAATAGAACCTGTCCCCCACTGCATGGCCGTCCAGCGTAGACGCTGTCTGCACCACTATAGACGTGCTTGACGGTGGTTTCTTGTCAAAATGGGACGTCCGGCGGGTCTTCTGGCGACAATCCCTGCACATCTGAGGCGACGCCGTACGGTTTTTAAGATATTCGTCGAAGGATAGGGATGCTTCTTGCAGTCACTGTTGCTGGCTGGAATCGATTTCGTAGGTGTGTTGTTCGAATCCAGTTGTCTTGTCGATTATTGGTTACGCGTGGCCTGTCTCTCCGAGGATGGTTTCTGACTGCATTCGTATGTTGCCAACGTTGCCATAAACACCAAATGGTGTTTCTGTGGACATTTATTGTCTTGCAACACCACGTTGACTCGATCCTGCTTCAGGCATACCAATGGCTCGCCGACGCTCATTTTCGGACAGGCGTGGCATTTCGTAATGTTGAATAATTGCGTAATTTTGTTGTTTTTTGAGTGGTTGTTGTCAGCACGATGCTAAACAATGCATATGGAATCCCGTTAACGCACATGTTTTTATGCCCATTCTTGGGTAGTGAAATGCATGGGGCTTGCATAAAAGTAAACTTTTGCATGGAATGCATGCTTTTCTGCAGCAGTTGCGTTTTTGTGACTTGATTCCATACATGTACTACAATATTGAAAACCAAACTTTACTTGGTTGAAAAATACACTAAAATATTGGTGTCGCAGGAACTTTTGTTGTTGAGTATATTGAATATATCTTTACCGAGACACCAGGCATGTGACATTTGATAAAGTGCCTTTGATATTGACACGCGTTATACAAAATTTGTAAAAAAATATTCATGATTTTAAATTTTCGTTTATTTCCTGTAACTGGTGGGCAGCCTGGTTGCCTGGTGGTTAAAGCGTTCGCTCGTCACGCCGAAGACCCGGGTTCGATTCCGAAATGGGTACAATGTGTGAAGCCCATTTCTGGTGTCCCTCGCCGTGATATTGCTGTAATATTGCTAAAGGCGGCGTAAAACCTCATTCACGCACTCACCCCTGTAACTGGTATCATGTTTTATTGATATAGGGCTATAACACAGCTTGGGACGAAGTGTTTCAGGTTATACAATTGGGAGAAGCGTTTGTAAAATAACACAAGTCGTCCTTGATACATAAATGTGGTTGAACTTTTCAATGAGAGTGTACGAATATGTCGTCTCTGAAATGAAAATATTTTACAAAAAAAACCAACAGTTGTTGAAGTATCTTAATATATTATAATAAAAAGGAGCCCAGAAACTACAAACGACAGTAATCTAGACTTGCGCACTATTATAAACTTGCATGGGCTGTATTGTATATTAAGCTATCATTAATTTAATATGTTTCCGATTTACCTCAATTTATTGGTGATTTGATGTTATTTCAGGTAGTGCATCCAGCTCCAGCTGCAGTTAATCTGTCACACTGACCAAACGGAACATGACGCCGACAAGGTAAGCACTTCATTGTGTAACAATTGGTTGAAATGGACTTTACTTCTACAGCAATGTTAGATGATTGTGTGAACAATAGTTCCAGATATATCTAGGAGAATTGCTCACAGAAAAAAACAGTTGTTAAATTATAGTTATAAAATATAACAAAAAGGAGCCTAGAGACTGTTTTCATTAGACTTGTCAAATATTATAGATTTGCATGGGCTGTATTGGATATATTTGTTTCAGGATCTGTATGACTCGCAAAATGATACCTAGTATCTTGATCTCCAGAAATAATTATCTGAATTTCAAGTGATGTTCTTTGCCAGATGTCACCATGATTTAATCGAAACAGACGACGGTGTCATATAACGCACTAAACATATCCAGCAGATAATCCAGTGATTGATATAATGAGCATCGATCTACGCAATTAGGATGGTATGCATCAAAGTCAGCGAGTCTGACAACCCGACCCCGTCAGTCTCCCTAATGACACGGGTTTGCTGATTCTAACACGGATATTCACGGGCCACGCTACATTGTGTGACCTTTTTTGTCGCAGAGGATTACTGTCATCAAGTTTACCATCCCAAATAAAAATTGGGACAAATTCAGAGATCCGTTCGCAGAGACATGCTGTAACAGAGGGAGATATTTTCAGACTACCTCACACAGTAACATGTACTGTTTCAATGTTTCGCGAAAATGTATCAAGGGACATAACTCGTGAAGGATTAATTTCGGAGACCCCCACGCATGAGTCGTTGTGCGTGATTTGAAAATTGATGAAGAATTAACCTTATATTATAATAACAGAAAACTATTAAACCCTTTGGAGAGGAACTGTATTTTTAGACATCCTAAAATATTTCATGAGAAGCAACCGCTGAAACTCGAATAATTTTTTATATATTTCGGTAGATTTTTCTTAATGGATGTTCATTGGCCATGAATAAGGTAACGCAAGATGGTTCTAATTTACACACTAATCTAATAAATTCATCAAACCGGTCGTAGCTTTCAAGAACCTGCGAAGCGTTTGCGAACGATCAGATTTAACACTAAAGCCATCCCTGCATTTACAGTGTTCTGAATGTGAACATTGTGAAAAAAGCCAGACACATATTCAAAGAGAAGATGGGTTTTTTTTCATCCTCCTCCGTCGTTGAGGATCCTCTTGATGTCAGCAGCAGCACCAGCCCTAAGCCTCAAGTTTAATCTGGCACACCTGTTCAATGTCGCAATGTCGGCTGTGGGACTCTCAAAGAAACACGGTATGACCTATGTTGTTCCACACGGGAACCAAAGGATCATCGGTTAACTGCTCTCTGAATCAATCAAACCCGCACTGTTTTGGGGTGGCACAGTGGGTAGGTTACCGCTTATCGTGCAAACGATGTGTTCGATTCCCATTAGGATCCAAACTGTAAGACCAATATGGCTGAGGGCTGATGATGAGGCATCATAACGCTCTTTGAGAACATTTCTTGTGCTTCGATGAAAGTGAAGCAGGGCGTGGAGTCATCCCACAGATGACATCCTTACCTTGTCAGCTTGTGGGTTAACAGCTCTTTGGTCATGTGGACAAGGCGTCCGACCTCGGATCAGAAGGTCCGTGGTTCGAATTCCATCACGGGACTTGGAAATTTTATAGCCGCTACAATAGGATGATTTCTAAACGAACAGTGACCTTTAACATGACACAAAGCAGGAACTGCTGGTATGCAGAAGGGTGCACTGCACTCGCTTCTCTCGATATCTCGGTTAGAAGGTGAAGAGGCTCACAGCAACATTCTAACACTATGACGGCCGGGGACACCACAATAAGATCTCTTCTGATTACCAAGCAAATGCTTTAGCCACTGGGAGACCCCAACTTCTAGCGTTACCTCCTCGCGTGGGTCACAGCAAGACTAACCCCGTGGCTAAGAAACAGTGGGAGACTCTACGAAATTAAATCATTAGAAATGGCCACGTAAATGGCTATGTCTGGACGAAAAGCTGTCGGTATAACAACTACAGCATTTAGTGCTGATCAATTCCGGCCATTAGCTTATAAGTATAATCTCGGGACTATTTAATCCCCGAGCCCTGGTCTAGATTGGCCTAGACATCGGCTTCTGTCTGAGTGAAATTAAAACAAAGACCTGACCCAAAAGAGTCTGTGAGTAATTCCGCTATATCAAGTTCGGACCTTTACCACGCTGGTGAAACCCACGAGTACGGGTATGGTGATAACAAACCTAGAAGGGCGGTCGGGTAGCCTTGTGGTTAAAGCGTTCGCTCGTCACGCCGAAGACCCGGGTTAATTCCCAACGTGGGTACAATGTGTGAAGGCCATTTCTGGTGTTCCCCGCAGTGATGTTGCTGGAATATTGGTAGAAGCGGCGTAAAAACCATACTTACACTCACTACAAACCTAGAAACATAATCGGGGCCAACCAGGATTCGAACCCACAATCACAGGTTTCTGGCGTGCCCAAGGGTCGCAACTCTGCACAGGGAATTGCGGCGCCTTAGACGACTGGGTCATCCGTACCCCCAGGCACAGGTGAAGTTTAATACACATCAATGCACGTTGATATGACAGGAGACTTGAAATGATATGTCCGTGATGTCATCGGGTATACACCTGTCTACGTTTCAGTACTTTGATTCCTTTGATTTAAGTTTTAACATGGTTTAGCGAACTGCGACATATCTGTGCTCTCTCATGATATTATTCGACTCTTAGAAATAGCTTACTGGTACAGGATGTACTTGAATCGCTGTTACTCGTGATGGACATCACTAACTGTAGAAGCCTTGCGATGAAGAATGCAATGTATAACGCTGTTGACACCTGAAGTCGGAACATGGCCGCCATGGATTTTACCGAAAACAAATGTCCCGGGAATGAGATTTTGTTTGAAGACTGGGTCTCTTTTCAGCTAAAGTTGAAAGTATGAGTCAATAGATTTTCATTATTTTTAACAATCTGAAACCGAATCATGTTTTTTGATAAAATCTCATCCCCAACCAGAATGTTAAACGGTCCGACCCTCATTACAAGATCTGAGACAAATCGCCGCAGTATTAAGAGTTTTCTTTAACATTTGTCTCTTTAAGGGCTCATTAATAACTTTGAAATCTTTTTGTTTTTCTTAACCTTTAAGGAAACCACTTGAATGTGTATATATGATAAGTTAATATTTGATGAACAGTCTCTAATCACTTACTTCTATATTAACGGACCCTATCAGTTAATATTGTAGAGGCACGCGGATGGAGTTAGTGAGTGAATGGTATTTACCGCCGATGTCAGCAACATCCTAGCTTCACTAGGGCGGTCAGTAAGTAATGGCGTCTGGAACAGTGGTTGATACAATGAGCAACGGTCCACGCCGCCGGGATAGGATGGCACCCACTCCACCATGACCACTCGGTCCTCCATTCAATCTGTTTTTCCGATGAGCCTGAAAGCTAAGTATACCTTTCCTGCCCTAAATCCCCATGCGCCTTTAGGAGAGGGCATACAATCAATCACAGCGAACTATTCCAGTAGAGTTCTTATATGAGAACGTAAATATAAATCCTACCATGAATTAGGAATTACTAGATTCGGATTTGTCGATCAGAGGTTGTCAAATCACAATAAACCCCCTCTGATTGAAACAGCCGATTATATCTACAATTAAAGGCAACAAACTGAATAGCTTCAGTAAGTAAAATATTCAAAGGAGGTGTGGCAATAATGTGGCAGACATCTACAAAGAGAATGTATTAATGTTTTGGGGATCTGTGAGGTGCATTACTTTCATACTGCTAATCAAGGTAACAACGACTGCAAATCACTATGTTATGTATTCGTTAGATTGCTATGACCACTTGTACAGAGAGGAAATCGTGGATATAAATATACAAAGCTGACGAGTTTCACTCTGCTGATTAACTATGTGACACCACAACGACAACTGATGCTTCAGTCAATTTGTCCCTAACAATGTATCTACACCTCTGTAGAACGTTGTATCGATCTCCTGCCAATAAAGGTCTGAAATAACAGATTCATTGATTCTCTGCCCAGTGAGGGTACTCTAGCATATGCTTTCACAGAAAGAGTGTCCCTTGCCGGCAAAACCAACCTGACCATTGTGGTAAAATCATTTAAGATAAGGTCAAGACATGGTGGTCACAGGCTATTCCAGGGTTGTGATGAGGGACTTGGGAGATGGTAGAGGTTGAATTATACAGGGAGATGTAATTGTTCCTTGCGCATTAATGCATTTATGCTGCAAATATCATGTTTGTGCCTCCTCATCTTATACGAGCTCTTAACGAACACGAATGCCTGAATACTGTACATTCCTAAAAGGACATTTGGTACAGGCGTCGAATATGTCCGTGCAGAATTGATCCCCTTATAGATGACAGGACCTGCTGACCGTGAGTTCGAATCTCATATTCTTTCTGATCATGATCGTTGGCCAGTCCATTTCATAACCGATCACGGCCATGTCGAAATAGTGGAAATCGCATACAACCTGTTTCTGCCCTTAAATTAACCTAAGCCGTTCAATTTTTTGAGGACCCTTATGACAAGCACCGCTGGGCTGATTCCATCGGAATCCCAAGGTACCCTCTATATATGTTCTTGTATTTCTCTTCAGTGCACCTTCAACAAAAACTTCGCTCGATGACAAATACAGACCAGATCAACTAATTAGCTTGTACATTGACGGAGAATACACAAATGTGAATTTCTACTGAACACTTCTTCCCCAATTACCTCGATGCACAGTGTTACCATGTCGATTTTAAAAAAATGAAACGCAAAAAAGTGCTCCATTAGACCAAACACAAATTCGAGCATCGTCCAAAGTGCTTTGATAACAGAGTATAAGTTGATTTGATGGAAACACGATCACTTTGGTTAATCTTGTATTTAGTTCTGGAAATGGGTAACCCCAATGCACTGGAACATGTTTTTTTCGGGCAGACCCCTCAACGTTCAGCGTGCCCTACTTTTGGAA